CAAGTTGAAGAGTACCTGCCTAACAAATGCAAGATCCTGAGTTCAAAACCCAGTAGCACCAAAGACAAAACGAAACAAAAAACATCTAATCAAAAGAAAAACATGCTAATCAAAAGAAAAATGGACTGTTCTTGTCTATTCAGAAGGTGAAGATCATCAGACAGCCTGCAGTACAGGCTAGCCTAGCAAAAGGTAGGGAGACTCCCATCTCAAAATTAGCCAGTTGTTGTTGCATATGCCTACTATTCCAAGCTATGAGTGATAACAGTCATAGATAGGAAAGCTATCCAAGACCAACTTGAGCAAAAATACGAGATCTTATAAAAAAATAACTAAGGCAAAAAAGGGCCAGAGGTGTGGCTCAAGTGGTAGAGTACTTGCCTAATAAGCATGAGACTCTTAGTACAAACTCTACTACTGGCAAAAAATTAAAAAATTTAAAAAGAAAAAAAAATGTTTCTAAGATATTGTTAGAAAAATTAGTGAGAATAAAGCCAGATATTACATAATGACAAAAGGATCAACTTACCACGAATATATACCAAAGATATTTGTGTGCTCAATAACAAAACAGTCATTTTATCAAAAGTTAACAGAACTGAAGGGAAAACAGAACCATAATTACAGCACCGTATCTGTCTAAAATAATGAAATCACACAAAATGTTTTCTGACCATAATAAAACAAACAACAAAAATTACTAACAGAAGTTAACTAGACTAACCTTTAAATAATTGGAAATGTAAATGTCAAGAAAATTAGAAAACATTCTGAATTGAAAAAATAAGAAAATACAGTACAACAAAATACTGTGGATAAAGCAAACATATATCCTTAAAGGCAAGTTCATAGAAAGCACATTTTCAAAACTATGAAACTATTTTTTCAAATTGTAATCCTTACTAGTCCCCAAAGTATAATTTATTTGTTCTCCACCAAACTGGTTTTAATCTTGCTCAACATCATGATGGAAAACAGCAAATTTAAGGTATTAAATATTTTGTTAGAAAAGAATGATTTTAACAATTTAAGCTTCTTTTATAAATTTGAAAAGAGCAAATAAACACAAGGCATCTAGAAAGGAGGCCATAATAAAACTTCAAAGAGAAAGCCAACAAAAATATTAATAAAATATAGGCTAGTTCTTTGAAAAAATCAATAAAATTAATAAGCCTAAATTATTAGGGTTATTATTTTCTACTAATACAAAGGGAGAAGACACAAAGGACCACTATCAGAAACAATGAAGAAAACATCACTATGGCAAAAACATGAAATGGTAAAAGAATACACAAACAATTCTACAAGTAAAATTTGCAACCATTCAGATGAAATGTACTAGCTTCTTAAAAACCATATCATATATTCAATTAGAAATATATCACTGAGTTGCTTACTATTAAATTTAGTTCATAGTAAAATCCTTCTCAAATAGAAATCTTGAGGCCACTATGGCTCCAATGGTAAATTCCACCATATATTTAAATAACAATGTAATTCTACACATCTCCTTCAGAAAACAGTAGAATAATTCCAATTCATTATATAAGAAACAAAGTTCACCTAATTTTATTTTTTTGTTGTTGATCGTGGGGCTTAAACTCTGGGCCTGGGTGCTGTCCCTGAGCTCTCAAGCACTCTACCACTTGAGCTACAGCGTCACTTCTGGTTTTCTGGTGGTTAACTGAGTCTCATGAACTTTCCTGCCTGGGCTAGCTTTGAACCTTGATCCTTAGATCTCAGCCTCCTGAGTAGCTAGGATTACAGGTATGGAGCCAATGGTGCCCTGCTACGGTCACTTTAATTTTGAAGCCAAAAATGCGAAGCGCTCCCATAAAACAAAAAAAAAATCCAAGATTAGCAAGTTGAAACCAGGTGAAAGTGGCTCAGGCCTGTAATCCTAGCTACTCAGGAGGTTGAGATCTGAGGATCATGGTTGGAAGCCAGCCCAGGCAGAAAAGTTCATGAGAAGGAAGTGGTGCTGTGGCTCAACTGGTAGAGTGCTCGCCTTGAGCTGAAGAGCTGAGGGATAGTGTGCACCCAGGTCCAGAGTTCAAGCTCCACAACCGACAAAAAAAAAAAAAAAAAAAAAAAAAAAGGAGAAAGAAAAGTTCATGAGACTCTAATCACAAAAAAGCCAGAAGTATAGGTGTGGCTCAAGTGATAGAGCACTATCCTTGTGCAAAAGAAGCTCAAAGACAGTGCCCAAGCCCTGACTTCAAGCCCCAGGACACAGACACAGACACATACACACAAACTTTAAATTCCCAAGAATGTATTATGCAGCTCAGTTGATGAAGCACAGCTTTTACCTAGTCCCACACTATCGGTTGTGTTTATATCACTATGTGGTCTGCTGAGTGTTTTCCTGCTCTAAATTTTGTGAAAATATGCCTCCCAAGAAAGTAAATAGTGCTGAAAAAGCAAAATAAAAATTATGGTAATCCTTATAAGTCAAAAAGGACATACAATGATATGATAAACTGAAAACTTTAGATTTGTTGAAAGGCGGTATATCTTTAGTAAAAATTGGCCAGCATTATGGGAAAATGAGTCAAGTACACTCAGTAGAGAAATGAACCTCTATACATACTGAGCACTTGAAGCTTTTCTTTCTTTTTTTTTTTTTGGGGGGGGTCCAGTCGTGGGGCCTGAACTCTAGGCCTGGGCGCTGTCCCTCAGCTCTTCAGCTCAAGGCTAGCGCTCTACCACTTGAGCCACAGCGCCACTTCTGGCTTTTTTCTTTTTGCTTATGTGGTGCTGAGGAATTGAACCCAGGGCCTCAGGCATGCAAGGCAAGTGCTCTACCACTGAGCCACCTTCCCAGCCCTTGAAGCTTTTCTCAACAGTACTCTCCTTGGAAAGCAAGGATGCCAAGGATACTAAGGGTCACAGTACTGCATAATCCCAGCAGTCATTAGGGTGAGGCAGAATGGCAAGTTTCAATTTCAAAAAAACAAAAGAAAAACAAGCTTGGCACCAGTGGCTCACGTCTATAATCCTAGCTACTCAAAGGCTGAGATTTGAGGATTAGAGTTTTAAGCCAACCCAGGCAGGAAAGCCCATAAGACTCTTTTCTCCAATTAACCACCAAAAGAGCAGGAAGTGGAGCTGTGGCTCAAAGTGGTAGAGTGCTAGCCTTGAGTGAAAAAGCTCAGAGACAGAGCTCAGGATGGGCACCCAAAAAACCCCAAAACACACAAACACACACACACACACACACACACACACACACACACACACACACACACACACAGCGGTCATATTTAAAATAATAACTAGAAAATTAATACAATTACTAGTTAGGAAACCAAACTTAAAACTGAATTCTGAGGAAAGAAACCCATTACTTTCAAAAGCAACATAGAAGTTGCTTTTTAAAAAAGTGTATAAAATTTAAAGATATGTGGCTGTGGGCATGGTTCAAGTGGTGAAGTACCTGTCCAGTAAGCACAAGACCCTGAGTTTAATCCTGAGTTACAAAAAAAAAGTGAATTAACTTGGACAAAAATTTTAAGTCATGCCAGGCATGTCTCGTGCCTGTAATCCTAGCTCCTTAGGAAGCTAAGATCTGAAGATTGTGGTTTAAAGCCAGCCCAGACAGGAAAGTCTGTGAGACTCTTATCACCAATAACTAATTAGAAAAAGCTGGAAGTGGCGTTGTAGCTCAAGTACTAGAGCACTAGCCTTGAGCACAAAGAGGATCAGGGACAGCACCCAGGCTGAGTTCAATCCCCAGGACTGGCAAAAAAATAAATAAATATTAAGTCATTTGTAATTTTTCTGTTTTGATGGTGCTGGGGATTTGAATCTGGAACCTCACATATACTAGGTAATACCAATAAACTGTATCTTCAGCCTTGCAATTCTATTTTTATCCCATCAGAATGTAAACTGGTAATAATCTGATTGCTAAATGAAATGCACTTTGCAGTGTTTTCTTTACTTTCAGGTAATTTTTTTGTCTTGTTTTTCTGAGAGTGAATTTTGCTATATGTACCTAGGCTGGCCTCAAACTCACTATGTATCCTTGAACTCACTGTAATACTCCTGCCTTTCCTTCCCAAATGCTGAGATTACAAGTATGTACCACCAACCTAGCTCCTTACTTTTTAGATAATCTATATTTAAACATAACCCAAAGCTTCCATGTCCATGAAAATGGGAAAAAAATGTCCATGTTTGCTTAAAACTAAACATAACAAATCAAACAAAAACAAAATCAAACATCAAGTATTAAATTATTCCCCAAAATATTGTGGAATACCATGGAATTAGAAAGGCAGAAAGAAGTTTACACTACAAATATTTCTATAGTTTCTATATATAATTCTCCAAAATTACTTGTATTAATCTGAATCAAATTTTAAGATACATATATCTTCAATAAACCCACAGAACCATTTCAGTACAATGTGAATGATTATTACTTATAGATGTTATAGCAGAATAAATTTTGGTTCAAGTAACTAAAGAACTATAATAACACTTGTAAGACATTTGGTGATAAGAGGGGTTTCTTTCATTACCATTGACAAAGTAGTACTTTTTTTCTGGGACCATTTTACAACAGACCTAGACAAACTTTATAACAAGACAGCTTACAAACATATCTGTTATATGTTCTATATATATTTTAGAGAAACTGGCTAAAAGAGTTCTGTCACAAACAGAAACATCTAATTTGCTGCTCTAACTGAGGAGCTTTAAATACGTCAACAAGCTGACATTATGAGCATATGAAGTCAATTAAGTTTCTACATGGCAAGCTTATGTCAGTATCTTTCTTTAACCATAGCCAATTAATATTTTAATATTATATTCCTCTAAAGTCCTCAGCTGTAAGGGGATACACTGTAACAACAAGTATTCTTTAAAGAGATGTCAACTCCACAAGCCGTTCTTGCTTTTCCTTATTAATCACTTTTAAGCTTTCATGGTAAAAATAAAAGTTTTTGTATAGTATGTTCAAAGATAAAAATCACATTTTATTATTAGGGAAACATTATTACTAGGAGTTTAATGCACACACAATAAATTTAGTAGTACCTTCTGGTAGTTATTATGAGGAAACAGGTTCTTAGGAAAATCTAAAATCTTAATAGTGTACTTCTTAAGCTCCCTCTGCTGGCTACCAACCTAAATAAAGGAGAAAAAATGTAGGCCTGTTTTCTTTGGGGAGATAAAAGGCTATGCAAGCTTAAAGACAAAACTGGCAATGCTACTGTTGAAACTGAAAGAGAACTATAACTGGCAATAATTAATGATAGCAGAGATTTCTGAATATTTACAACACACAAAAAATTATAAATGAGGGGACAGATATGACAATCACTGTGCCCACAAGTATGTATAAGTATTGTGTGCCACTTAAAAATAATCATATATACATAAAAAGAGATTCTATTAAATTGGGACAAAGTCTTACGAATAACTCCCCTAATAAGAATGTGAGACTTCCATAGGCTGGAAGGAGAAGGGATTGTAAAGAAGTGGCATTAATGCCAAATTTGAATGTGTTAATCATTAAATTGGTAGGTCAAAATACAAAAATATTTAGCACAAAATAAATTAACTGTAAGTGCTTATGAATTAACATAAAAAATTAAGAACTAAAATACTATTTCACAAACCACTAGGACAAAAAGCTATATTTCACACTATTTAATCTACTTACTTTCAATATTAAGGTTTATTTTTCTTCCAGAGTAAGGTTAAGTAACAGGATGTTTAAATGAACATCCACTTAGATAAAATATTACTGCTTAAACATGGCTAAGAAATACTTGCATGTAATAAATATAGTTTAGCTTAACAGGCACCATCTTAAAAGCAGAAAAGCTTTTTTAACCAATAAATAAATTACATTCAAGAAAACAAGGTGTTTAAATCTGAAGTATATCTTTAAATGTTTTTCTTCATATAGCACCCAAACTTCTGAACTGTCTAGAAAGAATCTCCTAAAATATAACTCCACCTTGAGTCATAAAAATTCCCCTCAAAAAAATCAGCTGAAGACAAATTTACGGTTTATATTAATTCCCCCTTCAATTATCAATTGCCAATTTATTGAAAGTAAATGAATTGTATGTAATCTGTTAGTGCTGAAAATCTGAAATATACATATGTAAAAGTCACTCTTTCTGACAGTATTTAAAATATTGCATCTCTGGTGGCAAATCTGAAAACTATTAAGCATTTTCATCTCTAGTTCTCATACTTCCACCTCTACTCCCACCTTTTTTATCCTCTTAACATCCATCCAGCATTGTTAGTTTTTGAAAATACCCTTACTTATCCCAACACAAAAATTGACAATACTCCTTGGTAAAAAAAGAAATCCCATAATAATACAAACCTACAGCTTTGTACCCAAACTGTGGCACAGACTAAATGATAGGAAAAAAAAAATCAGTGGCCCTTATTGATGCTGCCAGAATGCTCCATAATGGTTTGAGAATTTGCTGATGTAATCCTGAAGAATGTTTTCAACAAATTTTGTAGACAAATATCAGAGAATAAGTCTTTGATTGATAATTTTTCTATTTATTTCTGCCAAGGCGACTGAAAACACGAAAGCCTTTTCATCAGAGAGGTTAGCATAGATGTCAATTTCCTTTTCCTGTTTTTCTGTTAAAAGAAAAAGGGAAAGCTTAACACGGAAGGCAGTATTTTTTCAAAATAAAATTTTAAAACTTTTAGCTATTTCTTTAAATGGCAATATAATGCATAAGATAGTAACATTCGAAGTTACACTATTGAATTGAAAAAGATTTTTGTTAGTCAGAGGTACTCTTGGAATGAAGACCAAATGAAGAATATATATTTCTTTGTACAGTCTAATGGCTATATCATTCTGTAATAATCTTGTGTCTATTACTATGAATTTCTCAAAATTTTCTCACTCTACAAGATGGTCCATAATGAACATTAATGGTAACTTTATTAATACATGATCATCTCCACCTTAACCCGCTTAGAAGAAACAAGAATAACTGACTTTTTAATTTCTATTTTTCTCTTCTTGATGGATCCAAATTCAAAGCTCATAATAGAAAATTTGAGAAAAAGAAACATCATTAAAATATGAAACAAAGTAAAAATTAACATCTTGTTAATCTTGTTAAAAATTAACAAGATGTTAATTTTTTATTAAGCAACTTATTATAAAGGTGATGTACAGAAGGGCTACTGTTTTGTAAATTGTGTAGTAAGTACATTTCTTTTTGGATAATGTCATCCCTTCCTTCATTCTCATCCAGTTTCTTCCTCTTGTCCCCCCCACCCTTAAGTTGTATAGTTCATTTTTAACATAGGATTTACTGAGTACCACTGCTGCATTTTTTATATGTATTATTTCTAATTTTTTAAGGCTTTACTAATAATCATTTTTTCTTCTTTTTCTGTCTATGTGTATCTGTATGTGTACTTGCAAGTATAAAGGGCTTTGAACTCAGGGCCTCAGGCTTTCTCTCAGCGTTTTGCTTATGGCTAGTGCTCTACCACTTGAACAATACCTTAGGTCCAGCTTTTTTCCTGGTAAACTGAGAATAAGAGCATTTTTCAGCTTATGCCTGACTATGAACTGTGGTCCTCAGATCTCAGCCTCCTGAGAAGCTAGTATTATAGTCATGAGCTACCACTATGCAACTTTTTGTAATTTTTGCTAATTTAATCAAAGTTAAATGTGCATATCATCTAGTCAAATTATTTTTACAAAAACTCTTTAATTCAACTACTTTTTCAAGTTGCTCCTTTATGGCTTGGCTTGTTTTTGTGCCAGTCCTGAACTGGGGACCTGGGCACTATTCCCGAGTTCTTTTTCTCAAGGCTAGTGCTCTACCACTTTGGGCCAGTGTTTTGGTAGTTAATTGGAGATAAAAGTCTCAGGGACTTTCCTGTCCAGGCTAGCTTCAAGCCTCAAACCTCAGACCTCAGCCTCTTTTTTTTTTTTTGTCATGGGGCTGGAACTCAGGGCCTGGGTGCTGTCTGAGCTCTTTTGTTTAAGGCTAGCTCTCTACCCCTTTGAGCCACAGCGCCACTTCCGGGTTTTCTGGTTGTTAATTAGAGATAAGAGTCTCACAGACTTTCCTGCCCCAGCTGGCTTTGAACTACAATGCTTAGATCTCAGCCTCCTGAGTAGCTAGGATTACAGGCATGAGCCACTGCCACTTGACTTCCTTTTTGTTTTTAGCAGAAAAACAAATCCATCTATAAGTAACATTTTCAGATGCTCATCTTAGTTTTAGACATAAATTTTCTAGCATGGAACATTCATCTTAATGCTTTGCATCTCTTGTTCCCACTTCAAACAGTGAACATTTCCTTGTCTCATAACTAAATTATATTTTGGGGAACATCTTTACATTACAGCTCTGTGAATGATGACATTTTTCTTGTGCGTTAGTTTCCTTGAAGTGATTCTTTTTTATTAGTTTTGTCATTCAATTCAAATTCTCTCTTCATATATAAATCTTCCAAGATGTATACACACACTAGGTATTTCCTTTGTTTTGTCTTTTTAAAGGAAAACCTGATCATTCTTTAGGTCTAATGTACAATCACCATCTTGTAATCTTTTTTTAAAATTTTTTTTATTGTGAAAATACTGTACAGAGGGGTTACAATTACATGGGCAAGATAATGAGTACATTTCTTATCAAGCATTGTAGCCTCCTCCTTTGTTTCCCCTTCCCATCCTCCACCTGCCCCCCCCCCCATAATCTTTTTTTTTCAAAATTAATCTGAGAGGGCTGGGAAGGTAGCTCAGCGGTAGAGTGCATGCCTTGCAAAATTAATCTGAGGATTTTATCTTCTCTCTTGAGTTAGATATTCTTGGCTTTTCATTGTGGTGTCATGTAATTTGCAATAGCTTCCTGAGAAAGGGAGTATGAGCAGCAAAATTTTGGAGTCCTTGAGTATAAGCAAGCATCGGTACTGGGGCCGGGAAGGTGGCTCAGTGGGAGAGCACTTGCCTTGCATGCATGAGGCCCTGGGTTCGATTCCTCAGCACCACATAAGCAAAAAGAAAAAAAGCAGGAAGTGGCGCTGTGGCTCAAGTGGTAGAGCACTAGCCTTGAGCTGAATAACTGAGGGACAGCACCCAGGCCCAGAGTTCAGACTCCATGACCGCCCCCCCCCCAAAAAAAAAAAGAAAAAGAAAAAAAGAAAGCATCATTACTATATTTCAAGTTATAGTTTGGCTGAGCAAAAACTGTTGAGGAGTACCCTAAGAATGATTAAGATAATAAATTATCCTCTGACTACTGGTGTTATTGTGGAGAAAACTCAAAACTTTTCCTAAAGTTATTTTAAATTATTGCCAAATTTACATACAATAAAACACAGATCACCTTAAATGGAAAATAAGTTAAGTTCTAATAGATGTGTACTTCCACTGCAATCAAGATCCAGAAAACTTTCTGCACTCTAGCATATTTATATTCTTTTACTAAACTCACCAGCGCCCATAAATTCATTTTGCCTTTCCTTAAACTTCATAAACATTGTATTGTTTTTGTCTGGCTTCTTTTTTAATGAACTTAAAAATTCAACCAATATTGTTCATGTAACAGGAGCCTTTCTTAATAGCTGGGTTACCATTGTATTAATTCAAATACTATTTTAATTATTTTCTTTTTTTTTCTGAAAGCCTAAAGGAATTTTTTCTTTAACCAAAGAGCTATTGATTATACTGATTATATATTCTGATTATGTATTTGATTATATATTGATTATACTGACTATGTATTTTGATTATATATTTTGGTATTTATGTTTAGCCATCCACTTGATCAGGATTTTATGGGCACTTCTTTTTTGGTAGTACTGGTATATGAACTTAGGGTTTTAAGTTGGTAGGGAAGCACTCAATTGACTGAGTCATACCTCCAGCCTTTTTAGCTCTGCTAATTTTTGAGACAGGGGTCTCATTTCTTGCTCAGGCTTACCTGGATCACAGTCCTAGTATGCTTCCCAGTGTAGTGAAACTTTCTTCTTAATTTCCTTTTTTCTTTTTCTGAAACCTTCTTACTGCTGTATTTCTAAGAATTTTCAATTTTATCTTTAAACTTTTGCTAAAGTTTCTCATTTCTGTAATTTTTTTTTTTGTTGTCAGTTGTGGGGCTTGAACTCAGGGCCTCGGTGTTGTCCATGAGCCTCTTTGTGCTCAAGGCTAGTGCTCTTACCACTTGAGCTACTGTTCTAATTCCAGCTTTTTTTGGGGGGTAGCTAATTAGAAGTCTCATAGACTTTCCTGCCTAGTCTGGCTTCGAACTGAGATCCTTAGGTATCAGCCTCTTCAGTAGGTAAGATCACAGGCGTGAGCCACCAGTGTCCCAAAGTCCATATTTTTGAAGTCCATTTTCCATGTGCATAAGTTACAACTACTTTTCAAATATCATATTGTTACTGTTTTGACTAATTACATCTTTTTTTAACTAAAGATCTAAATGCTTTAAATTTTTTTCTTTTCCCTATAAAAATTTGCTCTAATTTATCTTTTCTTTCCTTTTGATTTAGGCTCAGTTTTTCACACTGGATGCTTTCTTTCAGATATCTGAGTCATTTCTGATAATGTGCTCATTTTTAAAAGTGTGAGAGCAAAAAAGATGATTAGAACCTTGAGCACATGGGTGGAGCCTAACACTGGTTATCAGTCAGAATGATAAGCCATTTCCTTCTTTTTTTTTTTTTTTGGTCCAGTCGTGGGGCCTGAACTCTGGGCCTGGGTGCTGTCCCTCAGCTCTTCAGCTCAAGGCTAGCGCTCTACCACTTGAGCCACAGTGCCACTTCCGGCTTTTTTCTTTTTGCTTATGTGGTGCTGAGGAATCAAACCCAGGGCCTCAGGCATGCAAGGCAAGCGCTCTACCACTGAGCCACCTTCCCAGCCCCCGATAAGCCATTTCTTTCTGTAATCGCCAACCATAGTATTTAAATATTAGGCCTTTTCTCTTGAGCTCTTAGGATTTCCTAGAGAACATTACTTCCAATCTCTTTTATGTGGAAGATACCAAACAGCCAAAGAACTTAATATTTACCATGTCCAATTTCCACTCAGTCTTCCTGAGCTTCATATGTTATCACTGCCCTCAACAATGCCTGGTATTCCTTATACCAGAGACTGTGTTTTTATTTTATCCTTCTCAAAAGATAAATTTAGGGCTGGGGGACTTTCCTTTTCTATTTTTCGTCCTTCCTCTATTCTTTTGTAAAACAGAAAATAATAAAGTCAAAATTTTAAAGTTTTTTTTTTTAGATAGTCAGGTTTTCCTTAATTCTGATGTTAAAATAAACTTAAAGCTTCCTTCAAATTTTTAAATGCCTTAAAATCAAGGAACCAATAAAAACATGGATAAGTAGCTACTTGGTCCTCAGAAGCATTACCAAAAACGTCTATTTTAGAATATATAAACATTAAAGAAATTCATGGTTCCTATCCAAACTAAATTTAGAGAACAATGGTCTACATCTCAATCATCTCGTTTTTATCAAGTCTAATAGAACACACAAGTGTGACCATTGGCCTACATATTATTCATAGCTTTTTTCACTATTATGACAAAGTTGAGTAGTTATGACAGAGTTTAAAATATCATTATCTACTACCAGGCTGTTTGTAGAAATATCCT